CCCCCCCCCGGTCCCGCTTGATTCTGCAAAACGTTGGCAGATCCCAACAAGAACATTAGCTGGCAGGTTGTCCTCCATTTAGAGTAAATATATCTTGCGGCCAAGATTTATTCTGAAAGCACAAGTGCATACATTTGCAGTTATGAAACAAGATGGCTTGAAGGGCTGGAAAGAGAGATTCATATCATCCCGAAGTTTTTATACAGTCTGTTGAAGCAGCCTTCTAGTTGTGGAGGTAGAATGACCCAAAACTGTTGGGTAAACCAGATTGATGTGAGCCCCCACATGTATGCCAGGCTGCCCCCGAGAGGCCCACGCATCCATATCATCAATACAAAGGGCTACAAACATGGGGTATATATGTCCATCATGTACTTCCTTTTTAAAATGCATTTGCTGTGATACATTAAAATGAGAATGCAGACCGGCTTGATATAAAAACCAAACCTGGCACAGCAGGCTTGATTTCCCTGTCCTTTGGGTTGCTTATCTTTCAGGATTATTCAAAAATATTTTGTGTAATGGAATCATAGAGTCGGAACAGACCTCATGGGCCATCCAGTCCAACCCCTTGCCAAGAAGCAGGAATATTGCATTCAAAGCACCCCCGACAGATGGCCATCCAGCCTCTGTTTAAAAGCCTCCAAAGAAGGAGCCTCCACCACACTCCAGGGCAGAGAGTTCCACTGCTGAACGGCTCTCACAGTCAGGAAGTTCTTCCTCATGTTCAGATGGAATCTCCTTTCTTGTAGTTTGAAGCCGTTGTTTCGCGTCCTAGTCTCCAGGGAAGCAGAAAACAAGCTTGCTCCCTCCTCCCTGTAACTTCCTCTCACATATTTAGACATGGCTATCATATCTCCTCTCAGCCTTCTCTTCAGGCTAAACATGTCCAGCTCCTTAAGCCGCTCCTCATAGACCTTGTTCTCCAGATCCTTGATCGTTTGAGTCACCCTCCTCTGGACACATTCCAGCTTGTCAATATCTCTCTTCAATCGTGGTGCCCAGAATTGGACACAATATTCCAGGTGTGTTCTAACCAAGGCGGAATAGAGGGGTAGCATTACTTCCCTAGATCTAGACACTATGCTCCTATTGATGCAGGCCAAAATCCCATTGGCTTTTTTTTGCCGCCACATCACATTGTTGGCTCATGTGTAAAATATTTTGTGTAATACAGGTACGCTAGTGTAAATACAGTTGAGCTCTTTGGCCCCAGTCCTTGAATATCTGCTTAAATGTGAGAATAAGTAATGAGGTGAGAAGGAAAAGAACCATTATGTGCATTGCATCAGGAAGCCTCTGAGCAGATGCCTCAGTGCTGCTAATTTCCTCTCATAAGGCTGGGAGATCTCCTATTCCATTGCCTGTATCCAAGAGTAGCAGTCCTTAAGGAAAAGGCAGCCAAAGGCCAATCTGTAAGCTGGCTTCCAATCTCAAGATTGCTTGATCTTTCCTCTCTCGTAACAACAAGGTAGGTTCTTCCTGTTCCCCACTGTGTTTTTGCCATATCCATGAGCTATAATGAGATTTGTGTTCATTTCCAGCTAATGTCCATAGTAGAGTCTTTGGCCATCATCAAATATCCATCTTCAACACTTAGAAGACATGTGTTTTTTGTAGTTGCAGACTTCATCAGTATCTGGGGTGGATCTGAAAAAGAAACCAGGACAAGTCATTGACTGGGGCGTGGAGTATATTTCATCTCTGTGTCCCAGGAAACTCATTGGCTAAAACCTCTACAGCAGTGGTCCTCAACCTGTGGGTCCCCAGATGTTTTGGCCTTCAACTCCTAGAAATCCTAACAGCTGCTAAACTGGTTGGGATTTCTGGGAGTTGTAGGCCAAAACACCTGGAAACCCGCAGGTTGAGAACCACTGCTCTACAGAGAGGAGAGACCACAGAGAAAGCGAGAAGAAAGGTGTTCACAAATGTGCCTCTTAAGGGCACGAAGAGGATTAGTACCTTGGTAGTTTTGACACGGTTCCCAAGCGAGCACATCCAGCCTGAGTTGTCAGGCAAAGCTTTGCACTCTTCTCCAACCAGGCAGGGCTCCATGTCGCACCACCACTTTCCTGTCACGATCGAGGCTGCAAAGAAGAAAAGCACCGCTGTTTGTTCCTGTAGCTGTTCACTGGCATTTCAAACTTGCTCCATAGTAGGAGTCAATTGGTGGAGGCAAAGTGATATACACTTCTGTAGTGTGGGACTTTGCCTTTAATATGATCTTTAAATGGATGGCTTTCCATGACACCAAGGCATGATGAGCTTATAGGGGAAAAACTAGGCCGTAACTTCTTTCTCTAGCTAACTTGCTCTTTCTGAAGCACTTGAAGCAAGTGATAATATTACAATTTCTCAAGGATATCATATAATGGTTGCTTCACAGCTGTTTTTGCAGCCATTGATCCATCTGTACTGGTCTTTTTTTCTAATCTGACCCCCAAATCTGAATTTTGAAGTGACCATTGCAACTTTTAGATTGCCTCATAGGTTGTTCAACCTCAAAATACATGTCCAAAAACAGAAACTAACCTCCAGCAACTTCCTTTTTAGTTTATTTTGCATTTTGGTGGCTCCAATGGCCACCACATCCTATGTCTAAAAATTGACATGCCGAGTTTGTCACTATTGCCCACTTCTATTTAAATAAAAAAACATAGAGTCAATCTTAGAGGTCTAGAGATGTCAGCAACCCCTCATATAATCTCCTCCTTACATCTTTTTCATGGGAGACGGCAGAAGGCTCAGTTCCCTTCATACCCATTTTTCAGAAGGAATTACAGTTGCCAAGCTTTAAACCACCATTTCTTGAATTCCGTGGCATTATTTTCCTTCCCCAAATCAGGATCCTTTCTTTCGAAAGGAAATTGATATTTCCTTTCACACTCTTTCAGTAGAACCCATTTAAATCCTCTTCCCCTTTGTCCGAAATCCAAGTGTTCCTTGCTTTTCTGCCACTTGTGTTTCACTGTCTCCTTGAAAATGTTGACCATTTCCGCTACCTTGGCAGCCACCTCTCCACCAAAGCCAACATTGACACCAAAATACAATACCGCCTGAGCTCTGCGGGTGCAGCATTTTTCCTAATGAAGCAGAGAGTGTTTGAGGACCGGGACATCCGTAGGGATATCAAGATGCTTGTTTATAAAGCTATTGTCTTCCCAACCCTGCTATATGCCTGTGAAATGTGGGCAGTCTCCAAAGTCACATGCAACTCTTGGAACGATTCCATCAGTGCTGCCTCTGGAAAATCCTGCAAATCTCTTGGGAAGACAAGTGGACAAACGTCAACGTGCTGGAAGAAGCAAAGACCACCAGAATTGAAGTGATGGTCCTCCGCCATCAACTCTGTTGGACCGGCCATGTTGCCGGATGCCCGACCACCGTCTCCCAAAGCAGTTGCTCTACTCCGAACTCAAGAACGGAAAACAGAATGTTGGTGGGCAGGAAAAGAGATTCAAAGATGGGCTCAAAACCAACCTTGAAAACTCTGGCATAGACACTGAGAACTGGGAAGCCCTGGCCCTTGACCACTCCAGCTGGAGGTCAGCTGTGACCAGCAGTGCTGCACAATTTGAAGAGGCACGAATGGAGGGCAAAAGAGAGAAACGTGCCAAGAGGAAGGCACATCAAGCCAACCCCGACTGAGACCTCCTTCCACTTGGAAACCGATGCCCTCACTGTGGGAGAAGATGCAGATCAAGAATAGGGCTCCACAGTGACCTACAGACCCACCAGAACACTGATCGTGGAAGACTATCCTACTTGGACATCGAGGGATCGCCTAAGTAAGTGGATTACAGAAATGAGGCCAGTAGCTCCAGACTTACTATCCACACAAGATGGTTTGCCCCGTGTTGTCCCGGCCACTTTCCCTGGGAGGCAGGAACACTGGATGGTTTGCGACCGTTCTTCAATGTGATTGTGGTTACAACAGCGGCGAACAGCAATCACCTTGCAGGTACCTCCACCTTGAATGGGGACCAAGAAGAGAAGTAAAGTTGGAGAGGAGAGAGTAACTGAAATCCCCCCCTATTTTCTCTTGATGTGGTCATCTGCTTTGCTCAACTACCTCCATGGCCTATAGCTAATACTAAGAACCTAGGTTCTTGCCCAAGTCTCCTACTCTCGTGAAATCGTTCAAGCAAAGTCAGGTTGCTATCCCTGAAACAGCTGAGTGTCACTTGCTTGAAAGTTTCCACTTCCAAAACTGTTTTCTGTGCTTACGCTGAGAATTGCAGCAGAAGCTGTGAGTAAGTCTGCTTCTGTTCACATTCCTTTCAGGGAGGAGATCTCATAGAATCATAGAATCATATAGTTGGAAGAGACCTCGTGACCATCCAGTCCAACCCCCTGCCAAGAAGTAGGAAAATTGCATTCAAAGCACCCCCAACAGATGGCCATCCAGCCTCTGTTTAAAAGCTTCCAAAGAAGGAGCCTCTACCACCTCTGGGGCAGAGAGTTCCACTGCTGAACAGCTCTCACAGTCAGGACGTTCTTCCTAATGTTCAGATGGAATCTCCTTTCTTGTAGTTTGGAAAACAGAAGACTTGAAGCAGCAACAAAGAAGCTTTAGTCCCTATTGATGTATTGAGCTGTAACCGCTCTGAGTCCCCTTCTGGGTTAGAAGGATGGCATATAAATGTCATAAATAAACTCCAAGAAGCCCCACAGAACTTGCATTGGGAGATCGTAGACCCAGTATGGTGTAATGGTCTAGGGATGAATACGACTCCAAATCAAGATTTGATTCCTCAATCAGCCCTAAACTTGTCATCTAAAATATATAAAGAGCCAAAGGCTACCCAGTCCAGAAGTCTGCAAATTACTGGTATATTTGACTATGGCCCCACACAGCTGAATAAAACCCACAATATCTGCTTTGAACTGGAATATATGACAATGTGGACTCAGATATCTAACCCAGTTAAGGGCAGATTTTGTGGGATTTTCTGCCTCAATGTATGGCTGTGTGGAAGGGCCCTAAGTGTGCACATTTTTTGGAGCTGTTTAGTAAGCAAAACACTAGTGTCATATTACCATTTCTTAACACGAATGGACTACTTTAGTTTTTGCTCATACAACACAATTGTACCACCGTATTTGTCATGGCAACATCCTAAGGACTCCTAGGGTTTGGAGTGTAGTGAAGCACCAGAATTTTCTGGCACAAAATTCCAAATGTCTCACCGAATTGCAATTCTCAGAAATCTGTGGGTTGCCAATTATCAAGTTGTTATAATGATGTAATGTGAAGTAGACTTGAAACCTAAATTCAACTTGGGTTGTTGTAGGTTTTTTCGGGCTATATGGCCATGGTCTAGAGGCATTCTCTCCTGACGTTTCGCCTGCATCTATGGCAAGCATCCTCAGAGGTAGTGAGGTCTGTTGGAACTAGGAAAAAGGGTTTATATATCTGTGGAATGACCAGGGACAAAGGACTCTTGTCTGCTGGAGCTAGGTGTGAATGTTTCAACTGACCACCACGATTAGCATATAATGGCCTGACAGTGCCTGGAGCAAACTTTTGTTGAGAGGTGATTAGATGTCCTTGTTTGTTTCCTCTCTGTTGTGCTGTTGTAATTTTAGAGTTTTTTTTAATACTGGTAGCCAGATTTTGTTCATTTTCATAGTTTCCTCCTTTCTGTTGAAGTTGTCCACATGCTTGTGGATTTCAATGGCCATCAAATGCTAATTAAGGTGGTCAGTTGAAACATTCACACCTAGCTCCAGCAGACAAGAGTCCTTTGTCCCACCCTGGTCATTTCACAGATATACAAACCCTTTTTCCTAGTTCCAACAGACCTCACTATCTCTTAGGATGCTTGCCATAGATGCAGGCGAAATGTCAGGAGAGAATGCCTCTAGGCCATGGCCATATAGGCCGAAAAAACCTACAACAACCCAGTGATTCCGGCCATGAAAGCCTTCGACAATTCATTAAATTGAACTTCCTTATATCTTTCTAAATCCAGCTTTCTTACATTTTGCTTGCTTGCCCTCAAAACTCCACAAAGAGCAACTCACTGATTACTGGGATTTGATCCCCTGCAGTCTGGTACCAGTACTGTTCATGATGGTGCTGTTGACTGTGAATGGGGACCTGCTGAGCACCGATACCCTGGCACAGCAGAGTGACACAAAAAACCCAGATTATCAGAGCAGATTGGCACATTGTGATAGATCTGCAGAGGAAAACACAAAAGAAGGAAAAACACATCAAGGAGAGAAGATAAAAACAAAGAACACCTCGTATCTTTATTTCTTGTAGAACTTCTTGAATTAATTTTCTTTGACCAGTTTTTTTTTTTGGGGAGGTTGGATATAAGGTTTTCCTCAATTTTATTCAGAAGGGAAACAACCCCTTGTAACCTCTGATATATAATTTTCCTGAGTTTTTGAATTAGTTCTAAAGAAAAGTTGGTAGGACTCATGGGACTCATGGGCTCTCAGTGCCACATCCTCCATTTTCCAAAAGTGCAGTGGATGACAGTATAGTACAGGCTGAATATCCCTTATCTGAAATAATTAGGACTAGAAGTATTTTCTCCAGCAAAGGATCACCGCCTTGTCGGGGCGCTGGAGCTTGAGCACCTCAATGATGTCATGAGACTGTTCTTGGGTTGGTAATTGGTTCAGATGGTGCTATAAATAGGATTTCTTCCCATGATCTGGTTGATCATGAGAGCTTTTCAACAGTCGAACCTTCTGCCAGAGGATGTGATGGCAGCTCCTTTCTTAGAGGCTTTTAAAAAGAGGCTGGGTGGCCTTCTTTCAGTGGTGCTTTGACTGTGTTTTCCTGCTTGACAGGGTGTTGGACTAGATGGCCGATGTGGTCTCTTCCAACTCTATGATTCTGGATATGAGTTAACATCTTGGTGTACACCAAAGGTGCCCTATTAGATGGACAGAAACAGGACTCCCCTCCATGCTTCAGACAACCAAGGGGTGGGGTGAAAGGGACTGTTCTTGGAGTAGCCTTGGATATTCTAATCTTAATCGAAGCCCCACAGCTTGGGGATTGGAATGCTGAGAGCAGCTTTCCTAACGAAGTCACACTGGGAACACCTCAAGTTAAGCTGGATTGAGCCTAAGGGAGTGACCATTGCCTTAACTTATTCCACATCAAGTTGCCTTCCCTTGGTTGAGTTGTTGCACTTCATGAAGAAAATTCAAATAAGTGACATTCAATAAAGTTGCCTGTAGTTACTCAATTTTTATGCCTGGTCTTGTTATTTTGGTGGTGGGTCAGAAAATACACACTGAAAAGTTGACCTGGATACCAATGAGACTACAGGAGTATGTGATTTTGCATCATTAGTGGGAGATTTTGGATGATCCGATCAATTATATTTAAAACAAACTTGTAGCCTACAGTGCCACCTTCAGCCTCTAGGTGTCACAATTTCACTAATCAAGGTAGACAAAGCTGCAGAAAAGCCTGGGATATTAATTTCTCCATAGAGCTGCTTGTTGATAAGGACAGAAAATAAGATGAGGAAAAGAGTGGATGGATATTAGAGTCCTGCTGGAGCAAATTCCTAAAGAAGGAATATCTATAGCTAATTTAATGATGGTCAATCAACTACATGGTTTCAGGTAACTAGCCAGAAATATACAGATGTAAGGGAGATGAGGAGGTCTTACTGTACATACCATAGCTGCTCACAGCTAGTCTTTCATATATACACACACGCTGTCCCTGTTTGGAAATTAAGACAGACATTTTAATTAAAGGAGCTGTTCCTAGATAACCGTGGAATAAAAGGATTATTCGTTCTCGGGTGCTTAGGGATAGGACAAGGAGTCTTTAATCTATTATACTTACTTCTAGCAAGAAGATGAATGAAGAGCAGAATGGAGAGTGAGCCCTAGCACCACAATCACTAGTAGGGAAGGAGAATACTAACTAAGTAACTGCATAGATCCTCCTGGAGAGTTCATCCACGTTTCAGCAATTAGTCAAAGACGTCTTTCACATGGCAGCAAGCTGCTGCTCTAGCTGCTAAGTTGGAGATTTGCACACAGTTCTTTCATTTTGACTTGAACAAAGTTCACCAAGATAGGAGAATTTGCACCTTCAGCTCCCACTTGGAGATGACCCACAAAAAGGAGGCCTTTGAAAAGGAGGTGAATAAATGGGATCAAAAGCTGAGAGTCTGGCTCAAAAAAACAAAATGATTCAATTAGAGGTGGAAAAGTGAACAGCACATATAATATGTTAAGCCAAAGAGGACAGTCCTGGGAAAAAAAGCACACAAAACTAACACCAAATGAATGAAGTGAAATCAAGCTCACAAAACCGAGCATGTTATTATTATGTGCTTTCAAGTTTTTTCCCACTTATGACAACTCTGAGAAAAACCTATCACAGTATTTTTGAGGTTAGGAGTGTGCAACTTGCCAAAGGTTACTCAATGGATTTTCATGGTCGAGCAAAGTTTTGAACCCTGTCCTCCAGCATTCTGTCCATTAGCTCATAATGCCTCCTAACAGACCTTACCTGATATACTGTGCCAAGAGGAAGATGACAAAAATGATCAAAGGTTTGGAAGCTATGCCCTATGAAGAGCTAGATGAGTGTTTCTCAACCTGCGGATCGCGACCCCTGGGGAGGTCGCAAGGGGGTGTCAGAGGGGTCGCAAAAGACCATAGCAAACACAGTATTTTCCGTTGGTCACAGGGGTTGTGTGTAGGAATTTTGGCCTAATTCAATCGTTGGTGGGGTTCAGAATGATCTTTAATTGTAGTGAACTATAAATCCCAGCAACTACAACTCCCAAATGTCAAGGTCTTTTCCCCAAACTCCACCAGTGTTCACATTTGGGCATATTGAGTATTTGTGCCAAGTTTGGTCCAGATTCATCATTGTTTGAGTCCACAGTGCTCTCTGGATGTAGGTGAACTACAACTCCAAAACTCAAGGTCAATGCCCATCAAACCCTTCTAGTATTTTCTGTTGTCATGGGAGTTCTGTGTGCAAAGTTTAGTTCAATTCCATCTTTGGTGGAGTTCAGAATGCTCTTTGTAAGTTAACTATAAATGATAGCAACTACAACTCTCAAATAATAAAATCAATCCTGCCTCCCCTTCCCAACCACACCAGTGTTCAAATTTGGGTGTTATCAGGTATTTGTGCCAAATTTGGACCAGTGAATGAAAATATATCCTGCATATCAGATATTTACATTAAAATTCATAAAAGTAGCAAAAATACAGTTATGAAATAGCAACGAAAATAATGATACGGTTGGGGGCCACCACAACATGAGGAACTGCATTAAGGGGTCACGGCATTGTGAAGGTTGAGAACCACTGAGCTAGATGTACTTATTTTGGGGAAGAGAAGATTGAGAGATGACATGACAGACATGTTATATTTGAAAGGATGCCATATTGATGGTACAGGTTTGGCTTTTACTGCTTCAGAAACTAGGACTCAGAGCAATGGCTACAAATGGCAGGAAAGCAGAATCCACCTGAATATTTGGAAGAACTCCTGATGGTAAGACCTGTTTGACAATGGAATATTCTGCACCTACAAGCCACTCTAAACACCTTTGCAGAAGCATACGAGAAGCTCGGCCTGTCATTGAACATTGAAAAAACCAAGGTGCTGTTCCAGCAGACACCAGCCAACCCCTCTCCAATGCCAGTGATACAGCTTAATGGTGTAACATTAGAAAATGTTGATTATTTCTGCTACCTTGGCAGCCACCTCTCCACCAAAGTCAACATCGACACCGAAATACAACACCGCCTGAGCTCTGCGAGTGCAGCATTTTTCCGAATGAAGCAGAGAGTGTTTGAGGACCGGGACATCCGTAGGGATACCAAGGTGCTTGTTTATAGAGTTATTGTCCTCCCAACCCTGCTATATGCCTGTGAGACGTGGACTGTCTACAGACGTCACATGCAACTCCTGGAACGATTCCATCAGCGCTGCCTCCGGAAATCCTGAAATCTCTTGGGAAGACAAGCAGACAAACGTCAGCGTGCTGGAAGAAGCAAAGACCACCAGCATTGAAGCGATGGTCCTCCTCCACCAACTCCGCTGGACCGGCCATGTTGTCCGGATGCCCGACCACCGTCTCCCAAAGCAGTTGCTCTACTCCGAACTCAAGAACAGAAAACGGAACGTTGGTGGACAGGAAAAGAGATTTAAAGATGGGCTCAAAGCCAACCTTAAAAACTCTGGCATAGACACTGAGAACTGGGAAGCCCTGGCCCTTGAGCGCTCCAGCTGGAGGTCAGCTGTGACCAGCAGTGCTGCAGAATTTGAAGAGGCACGAATGGAGGGCGAAAGGGAGAAGTGTGCCAAGAGGAAGGCACGTCAAGCCAACCCTGACCGAGACCGCCTTCCACCTGGAAACCAATGCCCTCACTGCGGAAGAAGATGCAGAGCAAGAATAGGGCTCCACAGCCACATACGGACCCACAAGAATACTGGAAGACAATCATCCTCGGAAAACGAGGGATCGCCTAAGTAAGTAAGTATTCTGCACCTGAATGTTATGGGGTCTCCTTATCTAGAGATTTATAAACAGAGGCTGGGTAGCCATCTGCCAACAATGCTTTGATTTTGTGTTCCTGCATGGCAGTGGTCAGACTGGATGGCCCTTGTGGTCTTTTCCAACTTTATAATTTTGTGATTCAAAAATTCCCCAAGAGTTTTTCCCTAGTCCAAGCAGTAACACTAATTATGAACTTGTTACCACTGCATGACCCCCACAAGCATCTCATTCCATCTAATATCAGCACCAGCCACTTCATACAAAGTTCCTTTACTGCCATTCTCCCCATTAACCCTTGGGCTGAGACTCCTAGAGTAGTAGTACTCAGAGAAGTAAAATCTGAAGAGCCCAGCAGGTGATTGACCTCTGCCTACTCTGCCACCGGCTCTGCAGAGAAACTCAAGATGCTTTTCATGGGGAGATTAATGAGACCTGCCAGGATTTCATATTCAGTTGGGCCTGCATGTTCAAGAACCTCTTCTTTAAATGCTGCCACTCGCTTGCTCCTTTGGAAGGCAATTAAAGCTCAAAAATAATTGCTAGATCTTTTAGCAGGAAAGCCAGTGAGGGTAATTCTCAAGAAACCTAACCATTGGGGAAACTAAAGTTAGGTTACTTCTTTCCCTCCATTATCTTCCTTGTTATTTTCACCCAACATTTTGTCTAGATAGTTGAAATTACACTAGGGCATACTATTCAGTTCATGATTTTGAGGTGGTTCCCGCAACCTTTCCTTACCTCTCGAGCCTGGGCAGATATCCAGGTAAGTGATCGGAAAATCATTTAATGTGATTGCTTGCTGGGTTTACAGGGAAAATGAGTCCAATGGTCTAATACAAAAGGACTCTATTGAAATATCAATATTCAATGCTGAGAAAGGGTAGTGGAGAGTTGGTGTTTGCACTCTGTGTAAAGCAAAACCCTACAATGTAGGGTTGGGAAAAGCTGTCAGTTTTATTATCTCCTTCTCCTTCATTGATCTTTTTTTTTTAATCCTCACGTTATTTAAAAATTATGAAAAAACATTTTGTCAGTTCTTTTAAAAGTAACTGAAACAAAACATTTGCTTTTAGGACTGCCAGTTTAAGTTCCCCCCAAATTTTGGGATCTCTAGGAAGGTGCAGAGGGTGATATCATCAGATAGGTTAACATCAAAATGTCTTTAAAATTTTTGTGCAATGTTTCAGCATGGTTCAATAAAACTGCAAAAACATTTTTCATGATTTATTTCTTTATTCATTTATTTACCATATTTATATACCGTCTTTCTCAGCCCAAAGGTAACTCAGGGTGGTTTATAGTCGGCAATCAATGCCCCCAACATAAAATATAATTAAAAACATTAACATATAATATAACCATATAAAAACAGTAGAAACAATAAAAACCATAAAACGCAAGTCTTCCGCATAAGGGTTGTGTAAGTTTTCCGGGATGTCTGGCCATGTTCCAGAAGCATTCTCTTATGACGTTTCACCTACATCTATGGCAGGCATCTTCAGACCTTGTGACATCTTTTTTTCATAAGCCCAGTTTACAGGTACTACTATAAAATAGCCAAGAACTCGATAGTAATTTTGCACATTCTGACATGCACACGTCTTTTGATTGCAACATCATAGAATTACATATGAGCCCCTAGTGGCACAATGTGTTAAACCCTTGTGCCGGCAGGACTGAAAACTGACAGGTCATAGGTTTGAATCTGGGAAGAGTATGGATGAGTTCCCTCTGTTAGCTCCAGCTCCCCATGAGGAGGCATGAGAGAAGCCTCCCTTTACTTAATTACTTAGGCGATCCCTTGTTGGACGAGTAAGATGGTCTTCCTTGATGACTATTTTTGTGGATTTGTAGGTGGCTGTGGAGCCCTATTCTTGACCCGCATCCTCTCCCACAGTGAAGGCATCGGCTTCCAGGCGGAAGGCGGTCCTGGTCGGGGTTGGCCCGATGCGCCTTCCTCCTGGCACGTTTCTCTCTTTCACCCTCCACTCGTACCTCCTCGAATTCTGCAGCACTGCTGGTCACAGCTGACCTTCAGCTGGAGCGGTCAAGGGCCAGGGGCTTCCCAGTTCTCAGTGTCTATGCCAGAGTTTTTAAGGTTGGCTTTGACGCTGTCTTTAAATCTCTTTTCCTTCCTTGCAGCCTATTCTCTCACACCAGAAGAGACTTGCAGTTTCTCAAGTCACTCCTAACATGAAAAAAATTGCTTAATGACAATGACACTTTAAATCACATGTTTGCTTCTGTGTATACTGTAAGTATGCTGTTGTTTTAACTGTTACTGTTTTTAAAGTTGTTGATTTTGTCAAATTTGCTGATGTTCTAGCGAAATATTATGATCTAATCTGATATGATTTCACTGACATCAACTCTAGTGAAATCAATCCTAGTGTCATTACTGAACCTGAGACTGCGGAATGGACCTTGATGATGTAATTAAGCATCGTGCACTAAGTACCCACCACAATGTTCTCTTATGCTCAGAATTTATGTTTATTTTTTGCAAATCAAGACAGAAATCTTAAAGTGAAATGAGGGAATTATGCTTTCTCATTTATTTTTTTACTTAGGGATGCAAAAAACCAACATTTAATCTAGGCTGCCATCTTCTAGGAAGAAAATGAATGCAAAGCTGAAGGTGAGTGCTGGGACAATAATGACTGGGAGGTAAGAGAGAAGCTTAGTTAGCAGTTTATCATGTGCAGTCAGTACTGAACAAGTGAACAACAGTCACACGATAGCAGCTACATTCTGGTTTAAGCATGCTCATTATCACACCTCTCTCTAGTTGCACAGTTATGTAGATTCAACAATCCACGGTGTAACATTTGTGCATCTTCATGCTCTTATAACCCCAGCCCCCTGTACTTCCACTGCACTGAATTTTTTAAAAATTTCCATTTCAAAGCAATTTCACAGTTACACTTATGGTTAACTTTAAAAAACCAAATAGGACTGAACATATTTTAAATGATCAGCTCAAAAATACTACGAATG